CGCCACCCCAGGTGTACGTGGCTGGCGCCCCAGCCGGTTGAGCCACAGGCGCCGAGCCTAATGCCTCACTTTTAAGCATGAAATAACAGCCAAAGAGGCTGGGCGTTTGAAAAGCCTCCCCTGTAAAGCTAGAGACTAAAGCAAACAGATATGAATAAAGAACTTGGGGGGGAAAAAAAAAACAGAGAAAACCCAGGCAAGAGGAAAATAATCAAATACATCTATAATTAACATTCCCAGAGCGTGGGATAAGAGAAAACAAAGCACCAACAAAACAAGAAAAGAATTTCTTTAAAAAAGCAACATTCAGATAAGAAAGAACACATAGAAATTAAAATATGATACCAGAAATTTTTTAAACTGTTACATGAGAAGGAGAAAGCTGTAGAGGAAACCTCCCACGAGTGGAGGAAATCAAACAAAGGGACAAAGATATAGATAATAGGAAAGAAATAGAAAGGAGGCTGGAAAAATCAAATGTTAAGTCCAGGGAGTTCAACTAGTAGGAATTCTGAGAAAACAGAAAGAACTATCAAAGAAATAACATGGGAATATTTCTCAGAATTAAAGAACATGATATTCTGGACAGAAAAGGCTCAAAACAATACATGCAAAAAATGAATGTTGTCATATGATCATGAAAATTCAAAACTCCACAAACAACATCTCAATAGCCTCCAAAGAGAAGAAAAAAAGAAGGAAAAGATCACCTTCAAATCAGAATACATTAAACTTCTCGACAGCCAGCCTATGACCTAGAAAATAATAGAGTTGTGATTTCAATATTTTGAAGGAAGCCTCTTTCCAGTTCAGAATTCTGTTTCCACCAAAGTATCATTGGTGCAGAGGGAGAGAAAGTGCATCGTCAGGTAGACAAATATCCAAGAATCTATTTCCTGTGTACCCTTTGTTGGGAAACTGCTCAGGGACATACTCTACCCCAAAGCAACAGAGTAACACGAGAAAAAAAGAAGACATCTGACTCAGGAAATAGGAAACCCAGCAAAGGAGAGCGCTAACTTCAATGCCCTAAATGTTGTCCCATAGTGGAAGCAACTCTGTTGGCCTAGGGAGCTCCCATTCCAGACGACAGCAGCATCTCCGTGGCTCAGCACCTACCTATCTAATTGCAAGCAGTAAAAATAGAACTGAAAGATTGTCTGATATTTTAACCATTTTAAGGGAGGTAATGTGATTCTATTAGAGAATTGTGGGAAGTAATTATTGATAACCAAACAATGGAAATAAAAGGCAATTATGGAAAGCAGGATAAAACAGCTTGGCATCCATAGCTCAGTGGGTCAGATACACTAGGACCACATACACTAGGGCTGGTAGGTTCAAACCCAGTCTGGGCCAGCTAAGCAACAATGACAAGTACAACAAAAAAATAGCCAGGTGTTGTGGTGGGCGCCTGTAGCCCTAGCTATTCAGGAGGCTAAGGCAAGAGAATCGCTTAAGCCCAAGAGTTTGAGGTTGCTGTGAGCTGTGATGCCACGGCCCTGTACCAAGGATGACATAGTGAGACTCTGTCTCAAAAAAAAAAAGAAAAGCAGAATAAAACCAAATTTTAAAGGAAAGGATATATATTCATAGTACACTGTATAGTCCAGCCATAAATAATTTTTCTTTCTTTTATTTATTTATTTATTTTACTAACAACGGAAATTCATTTCTTACATAACTAACATGCCCGGGGGTAGCTCTAAAACCCAGGTTTAACTGTGTCCAGAGGTTCCAATAATGTACATCCGTTACATCTTTTTTTTGCAGTTTTTTTTGGCCAGGGCTGGGTTTGAACCCACCACCTCTGGTATATGGGGCCAGCGCCCTACTCCTTGAGCCACAGGTGCTGTCCCGTCCATTGTATCTTTAATGTCTTGGCTTTGCCTTACACTCGCAGTCTGTGTCATTGTGGACACTAACAGCTTCAGGCTCATTCATAGTTTCCAAGCCGCAATTTGACCTGAATATAGAGGTTCTCTTCTCCCACAGGTTTTAAAGAAAATCCAGGGCCTGATTGGGTTTGGACTGAATAATTGTATACCCTTCTATGAGCCAGCAAATGGAGTTAGCTGTTGGTAACCCCAGGCCACTTTCCTCCCCACCCCAGCTCCAGAGCTAGTGTGGGATCAGGCCCACCCGCACTATCCAGGCTGAATAGTCAAATATTATAAAAACAATCTGATAAAATGCTACAGACTCAGTCCTCACAACAGATTTGTGTTTCCACCCATTTTATAAAGAAGAAAAATGAGGCTAGTAAGAGCCAGCACAGGACTAGACCTGCTCCTGTGATTTAGCCCTGTATTCCCTCCACAAGCATTTCTTAGGGGCACTGCTGGAATTTGGAATGGGATGATTCTTTCTTGGGCAGGACCATCACAAGCATTAGAAACGTTTCAAATCCCGGGCTCTAAGACCAGTGACACCTGCCCTCCTAGCACTGTGACAACTAAAAACGCTCTCACACACTTTCAGGGGTCCACTTAGCCAGGAGGCATCTCCCCTATTTGAGAAAAACTGTACATTACCACAGTAGACCCTTTTACCAGGAGGTTCATGCTTCCTAGTGTTTAAATGTACACTGCAACCTTTGGGCTTAGAAACCGACTGAACTTTTTTTTTTTTTGGTAAGACATTCATACTCTGTTCTATTCTAACAGTTTTAGAATGTACCATTGCATTATGCACATTAAGTGAGGTCCCACCAAATTCTCTCCCTCCTCCCAGCCTTCCCCCTCCCCTCCCTGCTCTCCCCTTTTCCCTCCTTTTTGGACTACAGTTACATGAATATGTATGTGATTTTATATTGATTTCATAGTAGTATTGAGTACATTGGACACTTTTTTTTCCCATTCTTGACATACTTTACTAAGAAGATTATGTTCCAGTTCCATCCAGGTAAACATAAAAGATGTGAAGTCTCTATCTTTTTTATGGCTGCATAGTATTTGATGGTATACATATACCACACTTTGTTAATCCATTCATGGGTGGATGGGTATTTGGAGGTCACTAACAGATGCATGGGTATTTGGGGTGGAAAGTAGGCAAAGAGCAAGGATCCATTGCTCTTCTTCAAAGTCACTGTCTACTCTATGATTTTTTAAAAAACCTATGTATATACATATTATTTTGATATAAACAAAGTTCACACATTAAAAATGAAATAGATCAAATATTGCATTCATTACAAATCCTTTGGTGATGGTATTAAAGTTGTCATAACATATTACATCAAGTGTATGATTTCAGAACAGCTAACACAGACTTTATTGGCTTTATAAAGAGTAATTTGAAAATGCTTGGAATTCAATGGCAGGTGCTCAAGAATGGACTCAAATTCAAAGCAATCAAATGGGCTGGGCTTGAACTTGAAACAGAGGTGAATAGCTACCACCCGGCACTGGCCCTACATCAATACTTCACCAGGATTACATAGCTCTAGATACAGCAGAAAGTCAACAAATGTTTGATGATTAAAACAATGATAAAATGTAATAAATGGTCCACATATTTTTAAAAAGATAATCACCATACCATTTTCATCCTTAAGAAAGAAAAAATAATGAAATTCCTTAATATCATCAAATATTTGGTCAGGGTCAAGTTTCCAATTGTCTTTTAAAAGCCTTGTAGTTGTTTTTTTTTCTTTTTTTTTTTTTTTTTGGCAAAGGTTTTAAAAATTGGGCTTCAAATACGGTCCACAAAGGCAATTAAATTCCTATTAATGATTATCAGACAATTTTAAACAACTGAAAAATGCATTTTTAAAAAACCATATATGGCAAGAAAAATCATAAAAGAGCAGTTTGATTACAAGTTTGAAACTTTCATTTTCCTCATTTTAATGTGTTGATGAGAAACAGAAATAAAGGAACTGATTCAAAATAAGTCACTAGATTTCAAAAGTTATAGTAGGCATATTTGCAGAGATGTTTTCATTCATTTATATTTAAGTAAATCCCAGAATCTTTATCATTTTACTAACGTAGTTACTGATTTTGAGATGCTTCGTCACATACAGAAGTTTAGAATTCAAAGTTCTTACCGGCGAGGCCGCGTCCAACATGGCGGCCTCCACGGGTCGTGGCCTCTCTTCCTACCTTACTGCGCGGCTTCCTGGGGCGGCCTTCGGCGCCCTCGGCTCAGTAAGTGCAGCTCCCCGAGTTAGCCTCCATCACTCACCTCACTGCCCTCCGAACCCACGGCCGCCCGGTCCCCGCGGGGCCTCCACAGACAACGACCGCTGCCGCCCTGTACCCGCGCACGCGCGCTCCCCGGGATTGCACGCGGCTGCGCACTGGCCCTGGGCCCTGCGATCCCAGGGACTGCACGCGGCTGCGCACTGGCGTGGGGAGCCGGAGAGCGGGCCCTGGGCCCTGCGATCCCCGACGCCGGCGGCCTGACAGTGCGCTCCTGCGTCTCACACTGTGGGGACCGCGCGGTGACGGGCCACTTGAGTCGCTGCGCCCCTGAGCACCTTCTCGGTGCTGGGCTTGGTGGGACTGGCGGCTGTGCCGCAAAACGCGGAACCTCTGTGGAGGAGCCCGCGGCGGCCGACTGCCACGTGTCTCAGAACGGCGGCCTCTTCCGCATGAGCACCTGGGAGTGCCTGGGGAACGTGGTGAGCGACAAGCCACAGATACTTGTCTGAGGTGGAGGTGCTGGACAGTGAGAATCCATTTGTGCAACTGGTGAAAGGAGTCGTATGGCTGATTCGCAATGGAAGTATCTACATCAATGAGAGCCAGGCCACCCAGTGTGACGAGACACTGGAGACAGGTTCCTTTAGCAAGTCTATAATGTGATATTGGCCAGGACAGCCGTGGGTCATGACCGGAAGGGGCGGCTGGTACTTTTCCATGAAGATGGCCAGACAGAGCAGCGCAGCATTAACCTGTGGGAGATGGCTCAGTTCCTGCTGAAACAGGACGTGGTCAATGCCGTCAACCTGGATGGAGGCGACTCTGCCACCTTTGTGCTCAATGGGAATTTGGCCCGTCTCACCCGTCTGATCGTTGTCAGGACAACATGTGGCGCTGTCCACGCAATGTGTCCACTGTGGTGTGTGTGCACGAACCCCGCCGTGTGCACGAACCTGATTGCCATGGCCACGGGACCTGCATAGCGGGGCACTGCCAATGTACAGGGGGCTTTTGGCAGGGAGCTGGCTGTGGTAAGCTGGACTGTGGCCCCTCCAACTGCAGTGGACACGGGCTGTGTACAGAGACCGGCTGCCACTGCGAAGCTGGATGGATGGGCACCAACTGCCATGAAGAGTGTCCCCTTGGCTGGCATGGGCCAAGCTGCCAGAGGCCTTGTGACTGTGACCACCAGTGTCCCTGTGACCTCCAGACTGGCAACTGCAGCATCTCCCCAGGTACAGGCCCGGCCAGCACCTCCGGGGACAGGGACAGGAGAGGGCAGACCCTCCTCCTCTGCCCCTTCACCCTCCTCTGGTGCCTTACAGTGAAGCAGTGTCTCCAGCCATCTGAAACCACCATGAGTGCAGGAGAGCTCTCCTTTTTCACTGGAACTGCCTGGTTGGCCCTCACCCTGGCCCTGGTGTGACTCCTGCTGGTCAGCACAGTGGCCAATGTGGCCTTGCTCCTGGGCTCCCAGCAGAGAGGCAGCAATGCCTGGGCGGGGACTACATGTACCATCTACTGCGGGAGATGAATGGGGAGCTCCTGGCCACAGAAGGAACAGCCTGGGGGTTCCTGCAACCACTTCAAGGACTGAAACCTCAGGCTGCCCAGGAAAGCCCATCCTTCTCTTTTCCAGCTTCTGCAGAGGAAATCCTGAGGCTGCTGGTGTGGACTGTCATGGTGACCTCAGCCTGGTGCTGCAGCTCAGCTTTTAATAGCGCCTGTGCCTCAGCCCTTGCCTGGCCCTGCTGCCCCAGTGGTAAGGTGCTCCCTGGAGACTATGCCTCCCTCCCACCTCCCTGTGTCTGCTGCCCGTAGCCTGGGCCCTACTGAGGGCCTGCTTGGCTGCCAGATAATCTCCTGGGGAAGGGCCTGCTAGTGAACCAAACTCAGTGGCTGAATCATGAGAAAGTAACAGACCCCAGCCAGCCCTCCTGGATGGGATGAGTCAAAGGGAGAGTCTCTGCCTTCCCAGCTACATCCCAGGACTCTTTTTCAACAGAGCTAATCACTGGATTTGCCAGCTAGAATCCTATTTCTTGCCATAGGAAGCTGCTTAGAAGAAGGGACGGGGTGGAGGGGGATGAAATCATGTTTACAAACCTATTTTGTTGTCCTGCTGCTGAGAGTTTTATATCACTTGAATAAATTTATATAAGAAAAGGACAAAAAAAAAGTTCTTACTGGCAAGTTCGGCATTCACTCTGTTAAGAAAATGGTTTGTTTTGGTCTCAGGAACTGTACTGGAACTTTATGGTAACTGCAAGCATGTAATTATTTGGTTAGCAAAAGTTCCTTTTTAACACCATTAATGGCCCCTGAAATTAACATCAGTGCTTTGGATCAGAGCTTCCAAACACTTCTCTGTTGAGTCATTGTTGTCTTTGTAAAGATTATGACTCTTTATACAGTCATGGGCCTATGACATGAAACCAGTGAAATAACCTCTCATGTGAACTAAACACTACACAGTTTTCTTTTGTGCCAAAATGTTCTGCCGGGTTTTCAGATGAGGGTGTGCCAGACGCATTGCCGCAGAGTGCTTTGTGGAATCCTGTATTCCGAATCCATTTCTATGCCATCTTCCCTGTTCCATGTCCACCAGACTGTGATGAGAAATTTGAGGACCAGTTCTGGCAAAGAGAAAGGGGAAATACATGAGTGAAGTAACCAGTATTTTTGAAAAGCAGAAAATGAAAAGGTCTATTAACGTTTTGGCACCAACACATTCCTCTAAATTCACTTCCAGAGCCTCTCTTTTACCTCTGGGAAATCATAACAAAATCTACCAATGGAATACAACTGTGCTCTTCTAGATCTAACCTCCACAAAAAGTCCCTTCTACATACACTCTGGGACGTCTCTTAGAGAGCTCATTGAGTGAAATAGCATACACTATCCTTTTGGAAGTTGAATTGTCAGCAGTAATCTTATCCCTCATTCTCATATTGCAAAAATCTTGCAAAAATTTGCAAGAATCAGATTTTTTGGTGTGAAATACACTCTCAACATCATGGAAATACTATTTTGAAGTGAGGAAAGGATGACAATACTCAATTTGTTGTTTTGTAGAAATATTTGAACTTGGTCAGGCGCAGTGGCTCACACCTGTAATTCTAGCACTCT